GTGCACAAATTTTTGTGCACCGGGCCTCTAGTCCTATATAATAAAAGGATAATATGCAAGTCGACCGAACAGTGGAATGGCAGGTCGCTATGACGCACACTGACCACCAGGGCGCAGATGCTCAATGCAGGAGCTACTCCCTGGTGGTCAGCTGCCCACAGGGGGAGCGAGGCTCAGCCAGAAGCCGGGCTCATGCCTAAGCCTGATAGACATCCCCTGAGGTCTCCCGGACCACGAGAGGGCACAGGCCAGGTGGAGGGATCACTCCCCAGGTGCACAAATTTCGTGCACCAGACCTCTAGTAAGAAATATAAGTGAATGGGTCTCCAGTGGATTCTAGCCTCCCATCTTTGGGCCACCCCAGCTGATGCACAGTAAAGCATAGGTGAGTACTTTTAGCCCTCCCAAAATTGCAGATTCATAAGCAAATAAACACTGTTATTGTTTCAACTCACTAATATTTGAGCTTAGTAACTGGAATGCAAACTCAGGACTGAATGCACCTATGAATGAATTTTACCTAAAACAAAATAAACTTTATGTTTTGCTCCCCATGTTGATCCCTAAATTAAGGCAGAGATAAAAGATATACATACTTCTTCCGACAGTGATGTTCTGCTGCAAGGTGCTTATATATAGCTGCAGGGTCAGCTGGGGGGCTGAGCCCAGGAAAGCCTGGATCACTGATGCCCGGCTGAATGCAGATCGGTGGGTGAACATCTTGCCCTCTGCCTGGCCCACTTCCTTCTCAATCTCCTCTGAGAGGCCATTTTTTGGCATTTGTCGCTTCTTGGTGATGCTGACATAAGGCTCTTCAATGTGGCCTGACTGACAATAGATGCATAAGACTTCAAAACACCTGGAAACAAATCAGCAAGTCATGATAATCAGAGGCAGACAGGATTCTCTTTTTTCAGTTACCCTGCTTACACTTAGCCCGATTCTTAAAGCCTTGACTTGGCTACTCTGGACTGCAGCCCCTCCTAGAAAATCATCCACACCAAGGGCCAGTTCTGAGTATGCAGTCCTCTTGAGTCCCTCCAGCAGGCCAACTGGGACTGACTGAGAACCAAATTGAGAGGTGACATTGAAGCCCACTGAGACAAGCAAACCAAGTAGAGACTAGAAAAATATTCAGTTTGTCTTCCTGACATTTATTAGCTGTGCAGTCTTGGGCAAGTAATTTAACCCTTGAGTCATTTCCCTCAATTATAAAGCAGAGATAAAATCTACCTTGCCACACTGTTATGGAGTTAACACAGAATATATGTACACACACACACACACACACACGCACACACATGCACACATATATATACATATGCACACAGATATCTATATCTATAAATATCTCTCTATTTTTTTTCTTTTCCACATCCAAGAGATGCCCCAAATTTCCTTAGTTAAAGCAGCAGCTATGGTTGAAAGATTCCTCCCCCCAATCACAGAACAACTTGCCATTTAGCATTTCCCTGGAAGACCACAATTTATTTCCTATCTCTCTGCTCTCATAAGACATTGTGGAACATGACTAAAGTCAATCATGCCTGGGGGCTGACCAGCTTTAGAATTTCAAGCCTACCTGAGGAAGGCTGTAACCCATCACCTTTTTACGCTGACAGAGTACCTGGCTTTTAAAATTGGATTTCCTCTTTAGGTAATGATATGGGCACTGAAGGGAGGAAGAGTACTGATGTGCCTGATTTACTTTGAAATATACACATACACAAATGGATTGATAGAAAGATGGATAGATGTGTGAAATAAAATGTTAATTATAGAATCTAGGTGTCTAGTACTTGGGTGTTCATCATACAGTTCTTTCACGTTGTCCTCTTTATGTTAAAAAATCTTCCTGTCAGAGAGGAGGAGGGTTTGGGGGCTGGATGAAATAATGTGAAAGGATTAAGAAAAAAAACCTATATATCACACACATACACACAGACAACAATGTAGTGATAGCCAGAGGGAAACGGAGTGGGGGTAGGTGGAGGTGAGCAAAGGAGGAAGAAATGGGGACAGAAAGAGACTTTGCTTGGGGTGATGAGCTCACAATGCAGTGTTAAGAAGATATTTTGTTGAGTTGTACACTAGAAACTTGTATGGCTTTGTGAACCAATGTCACCCCCATAAATTCAATGAAAACTTTTTTTTCATAATAAAATGCTGGGAAAAAATGGGTTTTTCCTAATAAGAAAAATGCTCATAGTACATTTACCCCCAAACATGCATTTTTATAACAACCTTATAATGCTGACAGAAGTTTTTATGGTTTCACCTGTTTTATTGAATGTTGTTAACTTTGTACTCTCACCTTGAGGCAACTATGGCAAGAAGAATCTATAATAATAAAAGCATAATATGCTAATTAGACCAGACAGCAGAATGTCCTTCCAGACATCCTTCCAGATGTCCTTCTAGACCAGCGGTTCTCAACCTGTGGGTCGCGACCCCTTTGGCAGTCGAACGACCCTTTCACAGGGGTCACCTAAGACCATCCTGCATATCAGATATTTACATTACGATTCATAACAATAGCAACATTACAGTTATGAAGTAGCAATGAAAGTAATTTTATGGTTGGGTCACAACATGAGGAACTGTATTTAAAGGGCCAGAAGGTTGAGAACCACTGTTCTAGACAAGCTGCAGTGGCTGTGAGGGCCAAAGGCAAGCAACTGAGGCAGCCAGCAGCAGCAGCAGCGGCAGGGTGATGGGGGCGGCGCCTTCCCCTGATCACCTGATCACCTCCCACAGAGGGAGGCCAGACTGTGGCTTAAGCCTGCTCCCCAGGGAGCGGGCCTAAGCTGTCAGTAGAACATCCCCTGAGGGCTTCCGGAGAGGGGGCAGGCTGGGCTAAGGGACACCCTGCCCCCAGTGCATGAATGCACTGGGCCTCTAGTAAATTCATAATTTGAAATAAAACTTGATGTAAGAGAAGAAATGCAGGAAACTCTCTAGAGAATACAAATTGGACATATTTTGTTATTATCATCTTTGTTCATTTGTTCCTGGGAGAAAGAAGGTACATAGCAGTTCGTGTGTGTGTGTGTGTGTGTGTGTGTGTGGTTTGTCTGCTACATTTTGTCCAGTGGGGTAATGACACGTTAACATATTAAATGAAAACATGTAAAACAGACTGAAACAATTTGTTAACCTGAAAATAATGAAGTTCAGGTTATGAGTTCAAGTCCACCAGATGCAACCCGAAGCAACTATATTTGTCTGAGAAAAAACTTAAATTTGTTTGAGGCCTAGCAACTTCACACTATTGGACCACTGACCACAGCAAGGACTGACCATCATCTTTACTTTCAAATATGTGATGAATGAAGATGCACTTTGCTATGTGCTGTGAGGACTGCAAAGACAGTTGGATTCCAATGCCTCATTCAGAGGTGATCACAATCTAATGGGAAAATGGGACATATACATAATAAAAATAAAGAATAGTAAATACAATTAATATGTATACAACACTTTCAGTTTATAAGATATTTATCATATATTAACTCATATTGAAAGAAAGCCTATTGAGCCCTAGCCAGATTGGCTCAGTGGATAGTGCGTCGGTCTGCAGACCAAAGGGTCCCAGGTTTGATTCCAGTCAAGGGAACATGCCCGGGTTGTGGGCTCCATCCCCAGTAGGGGGTGTGCAGGAGGCATCCGATCAATGATTCTCTGTCATCATTGATGTTTCTATCTCTTTCTCCCCTCTCCCTTCCTCTCTGAAATCAAAAATATATATATTTTTTAAAAAAGAAAGCATATTAAAAGAATTTGAATTATAGCATTATTTGTAATAGCTAAATTCTAGCAATATTCTAAAGGTCCCCCCAAAACAATGATTAAATAAATTATAATATGTGTATTCAATAAAATATTATCCAGTCCTTAAATGTGATGGTATGTACATATATCAACTGATATATAAAAATGTTTGCTATATTTGATAAATGAAAGGAGCAAATTACAATAGAATTTATATAGAAAGTTTCAATTTTTTTTTTTGTAAAAACAAAATTACATATGTGTAAAAATATATACAAATCTCTATCACACACACATACACATAAAGGGTGGAGGTCTGGAACTGACTCAAGAAAGAGACTGTAAAAGAGTTATGAATTTTAATAGGGGTGCCAGAACAACAGAAAGAGGGACGAGGGTTAGAAAACCTATTGGAAGAAATAATATCAGAAAACTTCATTGAGGTGGGGAAGAAAAAAGTCACACAAGCACAGTCCAAAACACAAGATGAACCCGAAAAGACCCACGCCAAGACACATCATAATTACCATGGCAAATGTTCAGGACAAAGAGAGAATCTTTAAGGCTGCAAGAGAGAGACGGAAAGTTACATTCAAGGGATCTCCCATTAGATGATAAAATGAATTCTCAACAGAAACACATCAGGCCAGAAAAGAATGGATGGAAATTTACAAAGTGATGCAAAGCAAAGGACTGAATCCAAGAATACTCTATCCAGCAAGGGTATCATTCAAAATTGCAGGGGAAATAAGAAGCTTCACAGACAAAAACAGGTTACGGGAGTTTATCACCACCAAGCCAGCAATACAAAAAATGCTAAAGGGACTGGTATAAAAAGAAGAAATAAAAAGCTAAGAAAGAAAACAGGCACAAAAAATAGAAATGGCTACAAACAAGTACCTTTCAATAATAACTTTAAACGTAAATGGACTAAATGCTCCAATCAAAAGACATC